CAAGAAGGCCGCTGCCGGCGTCACTTGTCACTGCGACGAGTTGGCGGCATGAGCACTGAAGCTAACCTACATCTCCTGACTGTGAGGCAGACCAGAAACACACATGCACACACACACAACCTTTGTTGTCTTTGTGTGCTATAGAGCCTGAAGCAAGGCTAATGACCACCTCAGTCAAATGAACACCTGCAGAGCATTATGGGATGGTCTCCAGCAACGACGGCGACAGACACACAGACACAGACACACACACACACACACACACGCACACGCACGCGCACACACACACTTACACAATGATTTACACAATGAAAGCATGTCCAATCGGAAATTGCAGTTTGTTTGGAAAGCCAGCAACAGCTGGCTGTGATTTTTTTTTCCCAATGATGTGATTGAAAATGAGTTCTGCTTTTGGGTTCCCGTCCGCATAACCCGATACTCTCCACTGTCCACATAAACAGGAAACACACCATCGAAAAACATTTTACAGTTGCATTTAACATTTTTGTTTAAATGTCACCTGATGTACCAACGGCGTGGCCTATTCTGATAGTTTGAAAACTCAAATGTGGCCCCTTGAGCCCAAAACGTTTGCCCGCCCCGGTTTGAAGGCGAGACAGTGGCAAGTCACTTCCTCCGCACGTTGCCAGTTTGCTTGCCGATATTCCAGCTCCTCCCGAGATAACGGCGAGGAGCTGTTTACCCATCCAGGAAATCCAGCCGAGGTCAGACGTGACTCATCGCATACATACGTACACACAAACACCTCCGGCGTGGCCGTTGAGACGTGGGAGGCGTGCGGGAGGGTCTGCGAGCGGTCAGTGTGAGTCATTGAGATGCAAAGCTCCTTAAGGAACAACACTTCCTCCTCAAACAACTGCCTTTTTTTTTTCTTGAGGATGATGCTTTGAAGAAAGACGACAGTAAGAGCTTATTGACAAATGCCATAGACGGGCTAACGAAGAGTCACCGAATAATTTTTTGGGACATTGTAAATGTTATATAACCTTCACGGTAAGAAACAAACAAATAACGAAAAACAACAAGAACAAAAAAAATCAAACAGTACTCATATTTTCTTTATCCTCTGCCAAAAATGACGAATCGTCCTGAAAAGCTGTAATCATCCCTGTGTATTAAATCCATATTGTACCGCCCCCGGGTGGCCAAGGCGCACAACAGCGGGAGCAGCACAACGTCTATTGAAATTAAGCCGAATGTTTTTATGACACATTATAGGGTGCGATATTTCTTTAAAAAAAAAAAACATTGCTGAATTGTTTGGTGCTTTATTTTTCAGGTATTCATAACAGCTGCACACACTTACAACTACTCAAAAAAAAAAAAAAAAGAAGGCCTTGGTTTACCTTTCGAGAACTGAGTGCAGATGCAGTTGCATTTTTTACAAATCTAATAAAGGGCGGTAGCCCGAGCAACTGATTGGATTACACGGCAGGAAGTGATTAACGTGTCCAAACATGGGGTCGAGTGACGAGGGGGCTGACAGGAAGTGTCTGATCGGGACGCTGGCGCGTGTGCGCCTGAGTCATCCAGGCCGAGCTCAAATCGATGGGAGAATAGTGGAGCTGTTATTTCCAGAATCAAACTTTGTTTTATTTTTTCATCTTTGTTTTATTTTATCATCTTTTTCACACAATATTTTCAAAGGGGGAAAAAAATTTGAGTGATTTTTTTTGTATTTCCTGCACATACATTTTTGACTTGGAAAAAGAAAAATGTCTTGGTTGGTGTGAAAGTTTCTTTTTATGTCGGGGTTGAAGTGATAATTTTGTGCCCTTTCAAAGGAAGAAAAATAGTGCAATGAATTGAGATTGTTTATTTGGGGGGGGGGCAACAACAGATGGTGTGGACTTGACGAGGTTTGTTTAATCAAGATGAAGGTGGAGAAATGAGATAAAAAACGTGCTCAAAGAATGGCCTTCGCTCGTCTTGGTAATTCGTTAATAACGCTCAGTCGACACGATTAACTGAACAGCGCATTTCTTACCAGGATTGTGGTCACTTTGCTGGACGTACGAAGCCAAACTGAGTCCAAGGATGGAAAAATCTTCACCTGAGGCCTGACACGGGCTATGGAGAAGAACCACAATTTTTCATTAGCGCTACTGAGGGCAAAATATGTGCATATGTTTTTTTTTTTGTTGTTGTTGTATTTTTTGCATCAATGTACAGAAGAACATTTCAGTCGTCAAATGCCAATCTAAAAGATCCATCCTGCATGTCATTCAAAATCCCTCCAAATTAATCGGCCGGGTCACGCACCTGGTGAACACCATGAAGGGCGGAGCGGTCAAGTGCATCCTCCAGCCGCTCGTCCCGTTAAGCCACCGTAAGCATTTGTAACTTTTTGAAGCGGCGAATCTAGACCTTTTTTTTTAGGGAGGACACAAATTTAGTCCGTTTTTAATGCACTTCAAACGAACTGTCAACGGTTCTTGTGTGGGGGGGGGGGGTAGGGGGGTGGACACAACTGCTGTGTGTTGGGAGTGGCAAGTTAGCGTGACATCTTTCGCGGCTGAGAGCGTCTCGAAGCAAACTCGGCATATAGGTTGATGTTTATTTTTGGTGAACATCCAAATCTGCTTCCTGTTTCGCCTCATGGATGCCATTTTGCAAATCTGACTTCTTGAGAGGAGCCGCTCTTCGTCTTTGGGGGAACCGACTGGATGCTCGCCCGCCTGCGGGAACGACGCAAAGGCTTCCTTTCACGCCAATTTCAAAACCGACGGTCCGCCCGCAGAGGAAAAACTGCGGCTGCATTTGTGTGAATAAATCTTGCCGGCCGACAGGCGAACAAGCAATCGGCTCTGCAGGACGCTGGTTAAGCAGCCACGCTCGCCCCCTCAACAGATTGTCTCACCCTCGGCTATCGGGGCGTCATTTTTGAGCAAGGCGTCTTAAAACGGCAGCTCCGCGTGAGTGCGGAGAAAACGAGCGGACCGAGGCGCCGTGCCTCTTGGCCTTTGACCTTCGATAGAAGAGCCGTCCAGCCGGGACAGAAGGATGAAGGGCGGGATAACGGACAACGGGCCAAGATAAGCAAGACCACTGTTGTGCGGGTGTGTGCGCGGGTGTGTGTGTGTGTGTGTACTCCCCGTGCTGCACACATTCTCTCTCTTAAGACACACACGGTAGTGAAAAACATGTTTTCAATTGGAACGGAAGGTCAAAGGACTTCCTGCTACAAAATAAAAGCATTGGCAGAAGGCCATCAAGGTGAATCTCCTCCAATTGGGCTTTCGATGTGTCTGAAATCGGCTAATGGGAGCGTCGTCTTTCTGGAAGTCGGCGTCGGGGTCACGCGCACCCCCTCCGCAACCCCACAAACCCCCCGTAGCGAGTCGAGCCAATCCCACCACCGCCCCCTGAGCGGATCCTGGTCCTCGCTGTTTTCATAGGCGCTCCCAGTCCTCCTGCATCCACAAACACATTTGACCAACATGTGCGCTGCATTACGTCCGCTCACACACACACACACACACACACACACACACACACCAAAAAAACAGCCACCGTTTCAAGGGTGTGACCCGCGTGCAAATGTTAGAAAGTGCACAAGTAGTTAGCGACGCGCTCAACCATCTTACAAGTTTAAGAATGTGGAAAAAAAAAAAAGAGCAGCAATCAACTGGGCCCGAGATGCCTTTTTTCCCCACAACTAATCCGAAGAATTTTCATCCAATCATGACATCATACTTCAACGACTAAAGGACCCCCCCCCACACACACACACAAAAACGCCAATTTAGCATTGTCCATGTGTGAACACATCTGTTATCATGCATCCTTTGCAACAACGCAACCTTGTCGCCAGAACGTCTGGATCAGCGTGTCCTTGACAGTGTTACCGCAAAGTGTGAAACATCGTTTTGATAGACGATAAGGCATTAAAAAAAAAAAAAAAAACAGTTTCCAGGAGATGAGTGTATCCATTTGTGCGACGGTCATGCGGTCCGATGCTGGAAAGCGTGGGAGGAGAGCTGACTAGACGCCTCTTCGGAAGACGGTGACAGCAAGGGATCAAACTATTTGCTCAACTCTCCCTGAGTTGTTTTTGTTTTTATCGCGTATTTGAAACCGATGTACACTTGATGCAAGGGCTCAAACTAATTTGTAATACAAAGCCAATAAAATATTTCGAGAAAAATAAAAGTAGTTCTCTGAACACAAAGTCGATATTTTATGACAGTAGTATTTGTGACTTTTTTTTTCTTACAACGTGTGAAATAAAACATTTTCATTGGCTCGCGCCTGATTCTCTGGTGACGTCATTCATTTCTAAAAAAAACGAAAAGTGACACTTTCAAGGAATACCGAAGTGGTCATCAACTGGGAAGCACATTCGTTTTGCGATTTTCTCAGATTTTTATGAGATTCCGCACGTGCACGTAGGAGAAATTACAAAACTGCCGTCAACTCGTGCAAAATGAAGCACCGGCGAGCTTCCAGTCAAACGGTTACATAACAACCCCCCCGCACATTTGACGGACGGACGAATCCTCAGAAAAGTTTCAACATGTCCCACTTCCCTCCCCAAATGATTGTGAACCAACGACGTCGGGGGCGACAAAGCAACTCTCTTCAAGAAAAAAAAAAAAATCTGGCTTATATTTAAAAGAAAAAAAAAGCAAAGCCCATCAAGGGACCCTCTCATTGCGTTGAACACTCCGGTGCTTCAGATCTCCGCGGAACCGAAACACTCGAGAGTTCTCCACATAAACAGTCATGAAAAGGCTCAGAAGCTTGAAACCTTGTGTTTAGTCGTATCCGAGGGGGAGAAATCCGCGCTTTCGCTGCATTTGTGCTCAAGGTCTAAAATGACGTCATAGCTGGGAGCGCGAAAAGCTTTCATTTTGCTGCCACCTAGCGCACAGCGACATAAATGCACTTTTTTTTTTTAAAACCAAGCGGAAAGGTCACGTCAGGTAGAGTTTGACCAAAAAAATATATATATATATACATTTTTTTTTAAGTAATTGTAATTATTAAGCTTTATTTTTCCCACTATCAATGACAGTTTAGACTTTCTTTTTAAAACACTCAGTCACATTTCCAGAGAAAAACCATTTTGACCAATTACACAGTTGAGAATAAAACAACACATGTACACTGCATGCGGATATAACAAACAATGTTGGGAGTATTTGGTAAATCTCAGTAAAAGTACAGTCAGAGTAAAAAAAACAAACAAAAAAAAAACAAGCACAAGCACTGAAAAAAATCAATGCTATGGAATCCTATGATTGATAAAAGTACAATATCTACCAATCGAAGGATTGCCTTTGAAAACAAATAATCTATGACTGCAGCCTGACAAATTAGCACAAAGCCCTGAGAAAATGGTCTCCTCTAAAATGAATGCTCATGACTGAATGTAAACTCTCCCCCAACCCCGTGCGCAGTAACAGTTGAAATAAACTCGAGGGCGCGAAGACCTAAAGGGTGTTTTCAAGCAGGATTCAATGGACGAAATGTTTTGAGGAATCGCTGGTAGAACTCGCTGCCTAATTTGCATAAAAACAGTTCTCGCTTTGAATCGGCCACGGTTGAGGCCCAGAGGCTAGCAGAGATCAGGTTGCCGTAACTGGAGCAACAGGACCTGAAGAAGCGCATTCCACCAGCGTCCCCCCCCTCCCCCCCTAACCCTTGAGCCTTCAAGGCCCGTCAGGTGATACTGGGAAAACTATCGCGGCACATCCAAACAAAGGTGTCATTTTAATGTACCCTGAGACATCATCCAGCGGAAGCGCATCGTTATCTTGTTCTGGCTGGTGCTAGAGCTCGCTGAATGAACAAGGATTTATTTTGGACCTTTTCTGACTCGATGAAAGTCCTGATCAAGTCAATTCTGAAATGTCATTCTAAATTGACGGACACGTTTGAGGTACTCAAAATGTGCATGGAACTAAGTACTCCATTGTCGAGATTTCAGTTGGCCTTGTTTTTGATTTTTTTTTGGGGGGGTGGGGGTGTATAAGGACTGCTATGTACAAGGATTTTTTTTTCTATTTTTTAAAGATTTTTATTTTATTTGTGACAGACCCCAAACATTAAGATAAGAAAAATGGGCATTTAAAATATTTTTGGTTATATCTGGTCAATAGCAAATTTGATTCAGCGATAGCATGTGTCTCAAATTTTTTTATGCTCATTTTAAAAATGTATTTTTTATTTTTCTAAATAGCAAATCAGGTTATTGGATTTTTTTTTTAAATGAAAAAAAAAACACTACTGGCCCAATTTTTTTTTTTTATTAATTAAAATTTGGCAGGATTGTTAGCAATGCCTCGCCTGTAATGTATCCAATTTAGAAGATTCATTTTTACTTCACAGGGACTTTGTCTTAAAAGCGTAGTTTGTTCAATTTCCTTTGTAATCATTACAATGTAATGAGTACGTGGGGGATGCGACCTGAACCACATTGTTGGTCAGTTGTGTGCGACGGTATGCTTTTGCTACCTGATGCTTTATCGACATTATTGCCTATTTTGTTTCGAGCATGTGATGACGGTGCTTCAAAGATGTTGCTGTACTATGGATGCAATCTGAAATGCCTTGTCCTTGTTGCAAAAAAAAAAAAAAAGGTCACCCTCGTGTTCTGTTCAGTTGCTTCTCTGGAACAGCGCTAATGTTCCCGGATCAACTCGCACTCCCAAACAAGTGGAGAAATTAAAAATGAAAAAATCCTATCTAAACATCTTAAATCATTTTGCTAATGTGTGAAATGAACCAATACATTGTTGATTACACTTATTGAAGTGAACAGAAGTTTCATAGTGAATTTTTTTTTAAATTTTTACTTTAAATACAGTCTATTTTACACACAACATTAAGAGGAGGGGTTAAGAAGATTCGCAGCTGGTCAAGAAAAGATTGAACACGTTCTCCCAGTTGGTTTCGGCACGGAAACGTAAACATTCAGCCAAGGTCCAGTAACTATGCAACACACCACCACAATGGTTAAAAACGCATGAATATTAAAAGGACAGCCAAAAAGGACCACCCACCCCCAAAGGTTTTCTACGTACAAGACGTAGCACTCTCCCTCCACCCACTACTTAAAACGACGACTACAAAATACCCGCACACTTCGTTGACTGTGCTCCCAAAACCTTTCAAAATGAGAAACTAAGACAACAATGACTGGTCCCATTTAAAAAAAAAAAAAAAAAAGGGGGGGTGTCTTAGTTAAAAGCAGCCAAATGTACATGAAAAATTCTGCCAGTAAGAGAGCAGCTAACGTTTCATAACTCTGCAGCTTTAACAAATGAATGCATGTTAATGACAACGTTTGTAACAGTGTCAAACTTCTAAACTACTTTTAAAGGAGGCGGGGAAAAACCTGTCAATGTTTTTTAACTGCCAGGCTAGCCTGACATTAGTCGACTAATTTGTGAAAAAAAAAAAGAAAATTTTGATTTGTTCACTTACTTGTGTATGAACAGTCCATAAATATCCATGACTTTTTTTTTTTTTTTTTGGTCTAGGAATCATCCAGATACGTAATAATAAAACCCCATGCTTTGGGCGAAATCTTATGCAAACTTCATTGACTGCCAGTCACTGGAGCGCAAGTAGCGGGGTTTTAAAAAAAACGGAACCTGCCCCAATTGGGCTCCACTTGAGAGGCGACGCAGCAGTGACGCTCGTCGCCAAAATGTGCAATGGAGGCAGGCAGCGTAGCAGCAAAAAGGGGAGCTCAGCTTAATTGACCTGCGCCTTCACGCCGACTACGGTCTCCTCACCCATAGCCTTCAACACGGTGACCTCGAGAGAGAGAGAGAGAGAGAGAGAGAGAAAAAAAAATAACTCCTCATATTTTGGTTCATGCTCTCTCAGCATCAAGCAATGTCGCTGGCCAGCATTTTTGTGTCATTTCTTTCCAAAACGACATGCAAAACTTTGAAAAAAAAAAAGGACAAAACTTACATAAAAACTCTCGTCGGCGGCTATTCTCTTCTCAATTTCTTTGCCCAAATCGCCTTCCGGCAATTTCAGGTCATCTCTGGTATCTGCACTGTCGTCCATCAGGCTCAAAAAACCATCATTGTTACCTATGACCTAAACGAATCAATGCACATGTTCACACAAATGATTTAAAATCATTTAAATTAAATTAAGGGGGGAAAAAAAATCACAACTATTTTGATCGATATTGCAATCACAAACAACCAGAAAATGAGGAACAAAGCAACACCATAATACATATGCAATATCAAAAAAATAAATAAAAATACAGGCTGTTCCTGCAGTACGCACCTTGGCCTCCTACGGGCAATGTGGTGCCGTGCATGCATGGAGTACACACTTATATTAATATAAAGAGTAGAAGAAAGTTGTGACGAGAGCTTTATTAATAGAACTCGTCAGTCAGGCTCATTGGCCAAACAGGAACCTGCTCTGTAGGTTTCCAAACCTGAACATTGCGTTCTTTCATGGGCGTAACACACCCTGTTAAGATCAGAGCAAGTGTGCCCCGTTCAAACAAGGCAAAACCGAAACGAAAATATTCACCAAATTGGAAATAACTTAAAGAAAAAAAAAAAAATTGCGGCAAAGTGACCAATATATAAAACACGGATTAAGCAACTCAGAGCTCTTGAAAATTCTCTATAACACAAAAATTGACACATTCGCTTGAATAATATTCCGTTTACGCTATTTTTGTATGTACTGAATATTGCAGCGGGTTGAGGTTTAGTCACGTTGTCAACCAGCAGCACGCACGGAGACCGCAAACCAGTTTTCTGGGTTTGGTCACGTGTGACACGCCCAATGTTGGCAAGTGGAGTTGTGACGTTAGTCGGTCGCCAGCAGGGGGGGATATTTCCCGACATGAATGGCATCCGGCGTAAAACTTTTGCCAAGACGACCAGGCGAGTTGGTAGGACGGTTTACAGGGGTGGATGGAAATTACTGACTCGCTGTGGCGACCCCTGAATAGGGACGTGCCGAAAGGAGAAGAAGAAGATGGCCGCCTCGGATGAATGAATTATTCACTAATTCTTATTTCGCCCATGTTAGAATACTTTTGATACGTGCCGGCACTCGCAACGTATTTCTGAATAAATAAATGTCTTGGTTTGGTAGCCCTTCAAGACAAAACCGCCAGTAGCTGTTATGGAGTTTATAGTTTTTAATACCGGCTCGGTACAATATCTCACCTGGTAGTCTTTCCTCTTCACATGTGGGACGTTCATGTTATGAGTTGATGGACAAATATCTTCATACTTCTTGCCAGTGAAAATGTCAAGTCCAACGAGGTGGACCTATAAAAAAAAAAAAAAAATACTTTTTTTTTTTTAACTGTCAGGTGAGTACATTTGCTACTGAATTGTTGCGAACATTGCGGGGTCACTCATGACACAAGTCTGGTACGGATCACGTTTGAATTTGTTGCTTTACCTTGGCATGCCCGTGCTTGCCAGTCTTGGAGGTAGACATGTCAACAATCTTACATGGGCGCCCTTTAAGCATGACATGGCCGTTCTTCCTCAGGGCTGAGGCCTGCATGGGGTATGTGGCGGACGCCCCAGATTCCCCAGAATGAAAATTTTCATCTGCCATGCTTATCCTGCGCTGCGAGAGTACAATGGGTGATCTTTTCAAGACATGTCAAATCAAAACCAGAAGCATGAGGCAACCTAACTTCCGTCATGATTTGAAAGAAACATTTGACCCTTTTGAAAACACAGGAAAACTAATTCCAAAGTTTCTATATATGCAGTGGTAGCTCGGTTTTTGGGATGAATCCATTCCGGAGACAGAAAAACCCAAACATGTGAAAAGCAAAGCAATATTAGCATCTACAATCCATTCCACAGACCCAATAATATTAACAAAATAATATTAGAAAATAAACATACTTTATCATGCACATAACATAAAATGAATCTAAATGAAAAAAATGAAATGGATAAATGCTTTTTTTTTTTTTAACTTCTATAAATAGTCAGAAGGCCACGTTGAGCGCAGCCCTTGTGAACAGAAGCAAGACTGTAGTCAACGTAGTCAATGATCATAGACTGCTGGACAGGTAAGGGGATTTATGAGAAAATAAGAAACCAGTATCAGGGATAAAGTAGACCAAAGAGGATAGATGTATGTGAAATTCTACATCTTGATTTGAAAAGCAATCCAGAACTACTGCCTCCATTGTGTAGAGTGAACAATTTTCACCCACATTGTGTGCAATGAAAAAGTTATTTATTTATTTATTTATGTTCCATTTTTATTTTCTTTTGATATTTGAGGACAATCACTTGGGGCTTGTCTATTCCCTTTTTTGTTTGAAAACGTACTTTGGCAATATGTGGAGTACGTTTGAAGGGGCGGGCTAATGCAAGCTGTCAAAATGGCTGCCACGTCCATTGTGTGACGTCACCTGCTCCATCAGGAACGACGCTCGTCTTTTATGTCCATTCAAAAGGCTCTTATGTCTTTTATGCAGGCTTTGGTGGTGTTGTGACGCACGATAATAACTTTTTAACACGAAAAAAGTTCGAGTAAAATGGCTATTTACAAAAAATAAATAAATACGGTGTGCGTGTGTTCCGCGTATGCCCCACTTTAATTGGGTTACACCGAAATGGAAAAGTATTAAATTACGATCATTACGTGGCAATGTATTGAAATTAAGATGATACTTTCCATTGAATAACGTCGTATTTTATGGTAAAAGCCCCATACCAACTTGACGCAGTGGTGTCGTTTTTCATCTAAAGAGACAAAATGTGTGTCCGGTCACATTAAACTGCCCATACTTGCTTTGATGTACCAAAAATAACAAGCGTTTCATTTGATTGTTTTTTTTTTCTTTAAATTTGTGCCGATGTGTGTAACCTGACACCATCGTCGATGGTCTTCATCGTCAAGAAAGTATGCGTTAATAGCCGTCATTTTGAGTCTTTTATCAAGGGTACTTTGTTTTATCATCATGATACCACGGAATGATTGAGGAACGATTAGAATAAAACCTAGGTTTGAATGGTGAGCTAGGCATCAAAAAATTGAAAAATAGAACGAACATTCACTGCCTTGTTAAGGTGGCCCACACCCAACAGACCTGACACAAGTTGCTAAACATTAGCCACAGCCAGGTTTCCCAAAATGGAGCCTCTACTCGGCCAAGTTACTCATTAACACGTCGCGGTATCGCTATCTGGTTTTAAAATGGCAGATAAGGGCGATTACGTTCGCTTTCGGAGCGGCTCCACACACGACGTGACCTTACCTTGATGACCTGCAGACGCCAAAAACAAAAAGGGAGCGCGGATACGCTGCGCAAAACTTTTTGTATGGCGGAAGTGCAGGTAACCGCTCACGTGATCGGCGTGGAAGGGGCGGAGCCAAGATCTCACCGCTTTCTGGAGACCTCGTGACCATATTTGGGCAGGTGACAAAACGTATGGTGATTCCATCCTTAAGACTCATTTAATATTAGTTGCGTTTCGATACCTGTGTTGGATTGAATGTTTTATTATTTTTTTCCACATTAATTTATTAAATATTTATTTCCTGGATGTAGGTTTAATTATTTTTGTGAATAAAATGTGAATTAATTGTACTGCAATTATCATTATGAATACTTATAAAATCAAAAATAAGAATGACAAATGTGATAAGAAATGAACTAGTTGGGAGATATATATTCATATTGTTCATTATTTTTGCATGTAGAGCAGGGATGGGCAACTTGGCAGCCACCAACCACACTGTGAGTGGCCCCTTGATTAAATTCCCCCCCCCCAAAAATTGAAAAAAACATAAAAAAAAAAATTGATTGGAATTTTTTTCTCCACCCCCCCAAAATCTGGTAATCGAAACGCAAGTACAGTAGTAGGCTGTAGTTTTGTATTTGTAATATCAATATCCACCACTAGATGGAAAGCATGGCTTAGTTGCACAAACTCTGGTTCTTATCCTGTCCTGTACAACAATGTGAGTAGGGCTATTTTTTATTTTTATTTTTGTGGATTTGCTATGATACGCAGGACAAACATCGGACCTCAAGAAGAAAGTTTTTGTCGTTGATTTTTGTGAAGAAAAAAAAGGCACAAAATGAGTTAGTTTGTTGTTCAACAGTTTTGTGCTGTCCTTGAATTACAATTTTTCGTTAGCCTTTTGCCCCGGGGGGGGGGGGGGGGGGATCACAGTGTGCGGTTGTTTTGTTGATTGCTTCAAACCCTTTTTTGGTCGGTTAGGTTCATGGAACTTTTATACATGCTTTGAAAAATGTAATGTATTACAAGCATGAATTTTGCACAGACGCATTTATTTTGTCCATGTCTTTATTCAATTTCTTTTTCATTTTTATTCCTTCATCTCATCAAAACATCGCTAAAACATTGGTTTGTGTGCATTAAACAACACAAGACGACAGAGAAAGAGATGTGATTGTGGCCAAAATATCACAATGAGGTAGTGGCGTCACAATTAACTGCAGTAAATTTTTTTTAAAAATCAGTTTAGCATCATTACAGTAAAACACTGACCAAAAAAAAAAAAATTTATAATACTGAAGTGAATGCAGAGAATGTAAATATACCATGCAGGATCCTTCAAGCATGCATTATGATATATTTGGTCAAGAATATTTATACGATGAGCGTAAGGAGGAAAAGAAGCAATTCCCCCAGCTGTATTAATACAAGAATAAAGTCACAATTGAAGAAAAAAAAAATGGACAAGACGAGCCTTTTGAAAATCATATACCAATTTTGTCAAAATATTACCAACTACAAAGATAAAGGCATAAAACCTTGACACACACACACACACACACACACAAACATTAAAAAGAACGTGACAAGAAAAATCATAACATTACGACATTTAGTACAAGTACCAGAACGAGAGCGTGTCATGACTAAAAAGTCCGATTGCTATGAGAGAGAGAAAAAAAAAAAAAAGCAATTGCCAGGAAAAAAAAAAAATGCCGTCACACAACAACAAAATCAAATCATCATCCGAATAAAACTGCGATTTTTATGACATAAAAGAGTTGCATTGTCACAAGAATAAAGTTAATTAAAAGCAACAGTCACATTATTAGAATAAGTCACACTGAGACGACAACAAATGTGGACACATTTACATTTTCCTTGGATATTTGCGCTTCGTGCTGATTCCGTTTAAAACCGAAGACAATAATACTGACAAGCCCGAAGGTCGATTGTTGAGAGGCTCCTCTCAAAGTATCAAATGTTAACCTCCAGGGGGCGCTGGAGGGAGCGCTTTTGTGACGGCAGCCGTTGCAAAAGTACCGTATTGTTGGATGTGACCGAGTCACGGGGGAAAAAAAAAAACAACTCACATTTACCATTACGATGAATCCCGGCAGTTTTCAACACTCGTTCCACATTTCTCAACCGAGTCGAGCTAAGGACACGAAGGGCATCTTGCGAACCCAAATTTCCAACCTGCCAAGAAAGTAAAACCAAGTGAAACGAATGTGGCGGTGTCCAAATTTGACCTCATCTTTCCAAATTTCTCAAGCCGGTCCAAGCGATTCAAATGTCAACATATTCACCAAAATCAGGACATTTTGAAGATCATTTTCACTTTCCCAAAGGTTTTCCTCATTTTCTATGGCAACAGTCCCAAATCAATACAGTACAGACATTTTGATGGACTTATGTCCGCGTTCCACATTTCTCAAGTCATCCAAAGCATCTTCAAACTCATTCAGGACATCTTTGGATTTTTTTTTTTTTAATTTTTTTTTTTTTTATAATATTTAACAGTCAGTATTCCGCTTTTGGCCAGATTAATGGCTACATTTTTTTTTAAAAACACACCTCTATCATTTTTCAGTCTCACAGTCAACATTATTTTTCATTTTTTTGAATTAAAGCCACAGTTCAGAGTCAGCTTCTCAGCATTCCCAAAGAATACAGAAATCGATTTCCGCAGTTAATTAAACAAATGTTGTGCGTCACTTTGGAGGAGCGTTTGCGCTTTTGCGCTTGAATCGATTGCGCTGAGGCGCAACTCACCGAATGACTGACTGGCGTACGTGGGGGGGCCCTCAAGCGTGCGTCGCAGTTTTGAGCCGCTGCAATTCCACGTCGTCGCTCTTGCCGTTGGCCGGCGCCTTTTTAACGCCCTTTCGGAAAAGCTCGGCGATCTCCTCGAAGCTCTTGCCTTTGGTCTCCGGCACTCGTAGGTACGTGAACGCGGTGAAGCCAAAAAGCAGCCCGGCAAACAAGACGAAGACGTACGCGCCCAGCCAGTTCTGAGGAGTCCAAACGTGACACCGTTACGTTACAGACCACATGATCCACGGTACGTATCGAAGTAGGGAATTTATCCTAGGCTACTTTTGAGGAAAAAAAACAACACGGAGACGTGATACAACGCGGTAAGAATAATAATCCCACCTGTATGTAGGAAAAGGTCATGCCCACGATGAAGTTGCTGGTCCAGTTGCAGCAGCCGGCGAGGGCGATGGCCGCCGGTCGGGGGCCCTGGCTGAACAACTCGGCCACGATGAACCACGGGATGGGACCGGGCCCGATCTCAAAGAAGGCCACAAAAAGGAAGATGGCCGACATGCTAACGTAGCTCATCCAATCGTACGAGCTCTATAAGGGAAGAAGACGGCAAAATCCTCGTCGTATTCTTTCCGAGCGCGTTCCAAGGACAGACTTGGACAAACCTGCAACTTGAGGCCGATCGTCATGGCGACGGCGCAGAAGCACATGCCGCCCAGGCCGGCTAGCGTTAGCGTGCGCCTGCCGGCCCGGTCCACCAGCGCCACCTGGAGGACGCAGGTCGCTTTCATTATATCCACAAATTTCTTCACACAACTTCCCGCCGTGATGACATGAAAAATGTCTGCACATTTATTTAAAAATGTTGCTCCTCGCGTGACGGTTTTAGTTCGTGCTTGCGAGGGTAGTTTTTATGATTATTATTATTTTTTTTTTTTGCATGACTTCGAAGTAGTTTTTGTGTATGAGTATTCTTGAATCGTACTCCTGTTATCGGGTTGTATCTGTGTATTGACTAGTTTTTGTGCTGATATTATCGACTAGTCTTTGAGTCGAGAAGTATTTTGGTTTGGTTTCGAGTCATTTTTTTAGTGTTATTGCAAAGTCTAAATGACTATCCATTCGTTTTCGAGTAATATTTGCTTTATTGAGTATTTTTTTGTGTTAAGAGTATTCTTGAATAATACTTCTGTTGTCGAGTTGTATCTGCGTATCGACTAGTTTTTGTGCTGATGTTATCGACTAGTCTTTGTGTCGAGAAGTATTTTGGTTTGGTTTCGAGTCATTTTTTTAGTGTTATTGCAAAGTCTAAATGACTATCCATTCGTTTTTGAGTACCGGTAGTATTTGCTTCAATTAGTATTTTTTATGATTATTTGTGTCAGTATTGAGAAGTTTTGTGTTAGCCTTTTCTCAAAATACTGTTGGTGCATATTTGACTGTTTTTGCTGGTTCTTCACATTGTCATGGCGGGATGCAGGGTGTGGAATTTTGAGGTGGGGGGGGGGAATAAAAAGGAATAAATTTTGGAAAAAGGCTGCAAGATAACGAAAGCGACTCACAGACACCAGAGTGAAGACGGTGTTGATGGCGCCGACGCCGATGGTGGCGTAGACGGGCTGACTGACGCCGGCCTGGGAGAAGATTGCCGTGGAGTAGTAAAAGATCTTTGGACGACAGAAAAGAGGACACTTCGTGATATGACACCAGAGTAAAAAATAAGTTTCACACCGTGCAGACTGCCGAACGTTCACGACAAGTGATCTGGCTTCAGCTTGACAAAAAGCAAAAGGCAGAACGTTTTGTGCAAATTTCAAAATGAGAAAAAGAAAGTGTTGTTTATTTTTTTTCAAAAACCTGCTGGAATAAGATGTTTGTTAAATTGCTTAAAATGACAAAAACAAAACAGCAAAACACTCAGAGCACAACTCACAGCAAGCTAGAAACGTGTCAACAAAATCAGTCGAAAGGCCAAAAGCTCAAGAAAAAGCACATTCGACGCCATTCCCTGCGACTCACCGCATTGATGCCCGACAGCTGCTGAGACAAGTGCATCGCGAGGGCCACAAACAGCGGCCGCCTGTACGCCGACGAGCAGATCTTGGGACAGAATGCGCGAGAGCCGTGTCGAGCGATGCGGAAAAAGTGCCCGTGTAAAAATTCCAGCGCGGTAGACCAACCAGAGACGAGATAGAGACCCGAGGCACCTTGTCTGCCTCCTCCTTCTCCCGCCTCATCTCATCCAGATCGGCGGACGCGTCGTACGCCCCCTTCAGTCGGTACAGGCCTGCCACAGAGACGCTTCTTTCAGCCGAGGCTGATTTTTTTTTTTTTCGAAGCGAAGTAAAGCGCCCGCAGACACTCGCTGCGTGTTCTTCGCGTACTTTCCTGAGCCTCGCATTCCTTTCCCAGAAGGATGTAGAGGTAGCGCGGGCTTTCGGGACACAGCGGCAGCAGGAGGGACTGCAGGACGGCGGGGGCCCCCGACAGCGCCAGGAGCAGGGGCCACATGGCGTCGTTCCCCAGGATGAAGTCCAAGCCGATCACCTGCCGGGTCGCGGGCGACGCGTTGACGCCGAGGGGACGCCGGGTGAGCCCGAAATGAGCCTTACCTGGCTGATGAGGATGCCGACGACGATCGCCAGCTGGTGCAAGGTCCCCAGGGCCCCTCGGTAAGCTTTGGGCGCAATCTCGCCGATGTACATGGGCACCAGGCCGGACGTCAAGCCTGAAAAAACACACACACACACACACACACACACACACACACACACACACACACACACACACACACAGGTTGAGAGTCAGTCAGTCATGATCTAACTGGAATGAAGGAAAATAAAGTTGTCATATGAGGATAAAGAATGTGTCATTTTAGCAGAATAAAGTGGCTATATTACAAGGGGGGGAAAAAGTGGACAATGAGAATAAAGTTGGGATAGGATCAGAAAAAGTTGCACTTTTATGAGAAAAAAAATGAATGTCATTGAGAATAACATTGTAATTGATGCGATTTTTTAGAAGAATATCGCAGTTATATTACAACTTAAAAAAAAGTTGCACTGAAAGATATTGAGATTCTGCTGCAAGAAAAAAAAGACAATAGTTGTAACGTGATGAGAAAATTATGAGAAAAAAAATGTAATGCCATTGAGAATAAAGTTTATTCATTTCAGTCATTTAAGAGATTTAATTGTAACGTGATGAGAAAATTATGAGAAAAAAAATGCAATGCCAATGAGAATAAAGTTTATTCATTTAAGTCATTTAAGAGATTTCAAAAATATATTATAAGAAGTATAAAGCAGTCATATTACGATAAAAACACATGTTGCGCAGACCAGAAATAGCCCTGAGCTCATTTTCATCTGTATTGCAAAAAATTAGTCTCAGTGTAATGGGATGGTTCCTTTGCCCGAAGCGTTTCGCGAAAGAGAAAAAAAAAAAAAAAGTCCTGCTCACCGCAGTAGAAGCCCATGATGGCGCGGCCCGCGATGACCATGAGGTGAGGCTTCCACATCTTGCACAGTCCCATCAGGAGTCCGGCAACCACGGCCAGCACGTTGATCGCCAACATTCCTTTCACCCTGCCACCGCATTGGTAGAAGAGAAGACATTTCAATCAAAGCAGCACCAGCAGCGGTGGCAGCAGCGGCGGCAGCAGCGGCGGCTATAATTTGGGGCTCTCACGCCACGCCGCACACCCACTCGCTAGCTAAGCATGCCCTTCGCCAAAACCGAAAAGTTCCTCTTCTTGAAATTATGCACAGTCATTGTTCCTGACAGGTGACTTCACTCAAGTTGTTGCTGCTGAAAACGAACTAAAGAAAGTCCATCTTCCCATCAGGTGACATTTGCAAAATTCTTGCTCCGGACAAGAGACTTGGCAGGTGAGTCTGGCAAAGTTTGTGTTCCACTTTTAGCAAAGTAACTTTCATAAAGTTCTTGTTCCTGACCAGTTATTTATGCAAAGTTCTTTTTCCTGACTGGGGACTTCCACTCCGGCAAAGTTCTTGTTCCTGACCAGGCACTTCCACAAAGTTCTTGTTCGTAACTCGTGACTTTGGCAAACGTTTATTTTCCATTTCCACTTTCAGCAAAGTTCTTGTTCCGAACTCCAGAAGTTCTTGTTCCTGACACCCTAGCAAAGTCCTTCATCCTGACAATCGACTTTCACACAGTTCTTATTCGTGAGATGTCACTGAGCAAAGGTTTCATTCTAGCCAAGTTGTTGTTCCTGACAAATGGCTTGAACAAAGTTTTTTGTTAGCACCAAATTACTTTGCCAAAGTTTATGTTCCACTCGAGCAAAGTTCTTGTTTCTGACACGTGAATTTAGAAAAAGCTCTTGATCCAAATACTCCACCACTTATTCCAGACTGGTGAAAATCCTTGTTCCTGACAAGAGATTGTTTGGGGGGTGTTTTGTTCCTGTCTCCGTTGATTTCTCACCTGCCTCTGAAGTCTCCCACGAATCCCACCAGGAAGGAGGAGAGCACGCCACCGACCGAGAAGATGGCTACCGACAAGGACCAGTACATGATCACAGTCGGATGAACCTGCTCCTGCGCAGTGTCTGCCGTGCGGCTGGCGTTTGGCGACATGCGGTCGGCTTCCTGGGGCCAAACGCCCAACGAGCGCCCATAGTGCCTCTCGATCACCTAGCGTGCAAAAAAAAACAAAAAAAAACGTCAGCTCATAGTAGAGGAAAGTTAAATTTGTGTACCACACAAAGAAAAAAAAAATAATTTTTAATGGGTTCGCTAATAAAGGAGGAAAGTTCAAATTGTGGACCACACAAAGAAAAAAATGTGAATTTCATGGGTTAGCTAATAGAAGAGGAAAGTTAAATTTGTGGACCACACCAAGAAAAAAAATGTGAATTTCATGGGTTAGCTCATGGAAGAGGAAAGTTAAAATTGTGGACCACACAAAGAAAAAAAAATAAAAAGCGAAATTCATGGGTTAGCTCATGGAAGAAGAAAGTTTAAATTGTGAACCAAACCAAGAAAAAAAAAGCGAATTTCATGGATTAGCTCATGGAAGAGGAAAGTTTAAATTGTGGACCACACAAAGAAAAAAAGTAATCAAATTTCATGGGTTCGGTAATAGAAGAGGAAAGTCAAAATTGTGGACTACACTCAGAAAAAAAAACGAATTTCAAGGGTTAGCTAACATCAGACCAAAGTTAAAATTGTGGACCACACCAAGGGAAAAAAAAGCGAATTTCATGGGTTAGCTAATAGAAGAGGAAGGTTTAAATTGTGGACCAAACCAAGAAAAAAAGCGAATTTCATGGTTTAGCACATAGAAGAGGAAAGTTTAAATTGTGGACCACACAAAGAAAAAAAGTAATCAAATTTCATGGGTTCGGTAATAGAAGAGGAAAGTTAAAATTGTGGACCACACCAAGAAAAAAAATACGAATTTCAAGGGTTAGCTTACATCAGACCAAAGTTAAAATTGTGGACCACACCAAGGAAAAAAAAAAGCGAATTTCATGGGTTAGCTAATAGAAGAGGAAGGTTTAAATTGTGGACCAAACCAAGAAAAAAAGCGAATTTCATGGGTTAGCCAATAGAAGAGGAAAGTTAAAATTGTGGACCACACCAAGAAAAAAAAAACGAATTTCAAGGGTTAGCTAACATCAGACCAAAGTTAAAATTGTGAACCACACCAAGGAAAAACAGTCCAATTTCTTGGGTTAGCTCAGAGAGGAGGAGAGCGAAAATTGTGGAGCGCACAAAAAACAAAAGCCGCGAAACGAGCCGTGCCCAACTCACCCGTTGCGGGGCGTTGATGACTCCGAGGCTGTAGCCGTACTGCAGGGAGCCCAACACTGCCGTGAAGACGGCCAACGCCAAGGTGGCCGTCAGCTCCTGCGCCAATTGATGAAACTGAAACCAAATCCATTTGGAAGGGGATGCTTGCTGAAATGAATGCCAGCTTACCTTTCCGGGCTCCATGATCCAAGAGTCCAAGAGTGTCAGCCACCGGAGATCAGGAAGGTGGCGAGCTAATGATCAATGTCCAGTGACCGACCACGCGCACACACAAGGACAAACAACACGCACGAGTTCAGGTAGCAAAAGCCCAAGACGTCAAAGTAATCCATGCACACTTTTTTTTTTAAACACAAAAACTTACATATCTTCATTTTTATGAACGATATTAAATCCAAAAATGAATATTTGAGATTCTCGTTAGGTTGTTATCGTAATAATATCATGTACAAATATTTGGCAATGGGTATGCGTGGATGCATTTCTGTAAAGCTTCCCTGAAGTCTCAGTTCTAAAAAGTGACTTTGTATCATCTTGTGTAAGGTGCTTCATTGTTTTAGGTCTGAATTTGCTTTTGATTAGATAACATGCAAAAGAAGCACAAACAAACGCATTTGTATAATTTAATTCCCCCACCGAATCAGAATCATTAAGAAATGGCATCGATAAGCTTCGGTGATGGAATTGGAAGTGAAAAATTCGTATCAATTCCTGTCGACATATATACGACGCCTGATTATCACAAAGTTCGTGCTTGTTCCTGATAGCTAACTTTAGCAAAGCCCTTGTTCCCGACACATTAATATAGCAAAGTGTGTGTTCTTGGCAGGTCACTCTAGGAAGGTTACCGTTCCTGACACATGATTTCAGTAAAGTTCCTGTTCCTGAGAGGTGACCTTGGCAAAGTTCTTGTTCCTGACTGGCAACGTGACCAAATTGTCCCTTACTTTTGCCAAGTTCTTCTTCCTGGCAGGTTAGTGCGTGTTTTCTCAGGCAAGTTTTACAAATTTCTTGTTCTGCACAGGTGATTTTCATAACATCCTTATTCCTGCAGGTGACTGTTCCAACTTGTGCACTAACACACACAGATATAGAACTCAGTGTAATAAACAGCAAAACCAAATCGGGGCAGAGAAGCATGTTAGGATGCAGAATGCGGTGTAAGATTACAAGCAGGCATATGCAGCACGTTTTAATCAAGTTAACAAAAAAAAAATCCTCAGCAGCTGACGCAATCACTCAGTTTGGTTAATGATACACTCACAAGGTGAACAAAGTCTAACACTAGCAAAAACACCGCAGCGGGATGGGGAGACTAACATTTGACTCCTTAGTGTAATGACCCAAATGGACAAACACACACACACACACACACACACACACACACACACAAAAAGATACACAGCAGCAACATGGCTCTACTCTTGCATTTATTTCTCTTCCAGTGTCTCTTTTACAAAACAAAACAAACCCTCAAACAGAATGATTAGTCTTTTTAAAATAAAGATGAAAAATGAAAACACACGGCAAAATAAAACATTACAGTAGATTTGTCTGAAAGTACTCAAGTATATTGACCGGAATGGACAACACACACACACACACTCACACACAGTGGGAAGACAAGGGCTCTTTATTGCTAAACCATTAGCCTGTTAGCCTGTTGTGCATCTACAGCCATTTTTAGTACAGTACGCGACGACATGGTTGAGGTGGTCATTAGCTTGTCTTCACTAGCAATAATTAAACAATTTGAAACGTGTTAGCGTGTCGGCGCAAATCCGACGTAACCAAACCAGTTTGTAGACCATCCGCAATGTATCCCACCACACATCATTTGGCATGTTTTTTTTTTCAGTTTGAAACTCATCCAATCATGAAGGCCGAGTTGGCTCATTCGATTTTTTATTTATTTTTTGTGTGCATGCATGTGTGTATACAAAAACAACAGGGGATGGTAGTGAAGATATTGTTCGTGATAATTTAGCAAAGTCACTTGCCCCTGTAGGTTACTTTGGCAGAGTGCTTGTTCCTGGCAAGTGACTTTCCTGAGGTTCTTGTTTCCTGACAGATTAAGATGGATTTCAAATCCTGTCTCACGGTTGACTTTACCAAAGTTCCTGGTTCTGACTGGCAACTGTACAGTTGTTGCACTTCACAGCAATGTTTTTGTTCTTGACAAGTCAGCCGGCGAATTCGTCATGATAGACTTTGCCGATGTTGTTGTTCCCGATTGGTGGTTTTGGCAATGCTAAAGACAGATGACGGATTGTTAACTGATTACTTTTCAAGGATAATTTTCCTGATAGGTGAATTTAACAAAGGTTTCTGCTCCTAATACAATGGCCAAGTTCTTGTTTCTGCAGTTTGTTCCTGTCACTTTCGGAAAGTTGCTGCCTTGAAATGTGTCCTGTTCCTGACAGATAGCTTTACCAAAGTTTTTGTTCTTCTTCTTCTTGTGAGTTTCGCAGTTATTAGTTCGTTATTATTCCTGACAGGATACTTCAGCAAAGCTCCTGCTCCTGACTGGTGAGGCCAGCGAGCAATGCTTTTGTTCTTGACACGTTGCCTTACCAAAACTCTTGCACTTGATGAATGTCTTTTGTTAAGTTCTTGTTCCTGATAAGTGCTTTTCCGAAAGTTCTGGTTCATGAGAAGTGCCTTTCCGAAAGTTCCTGACAGATGACTTTAACACAGGTCTTGTTCCTGATAAGTAGGTTTCCTTATGTTCTTGTTCCTGAAGGGTGACTTGTCTTGTTCCTGATGGGTGGCTTTCCTTACGTTCTTGTTCCTGATATGCGTCTGTCCTGAAGTTCTTGTTCCTGACAGGCTACTTGAGCAAAGCATTTTTTCTTCACGTTAGCAATGCTCTTGTTCCTAACAGGTGATTTTAGCAAACATCTCGTCCATGACAAACAGCTCTCATAAAGTTCTTGTTCCTGCTGAGTGATATATATTTCCATGTGACTTTGGTAAAGTCTTAGTTGCTGAATGAGTTTTCCAATGTTCCTGTTCCTGACATACCTAAACAATAATCAACAGTCCAAGAATAATAATGAATCCCGTCTCTGTGGCGGTGGGATACAATTGTGGCAACAGTCAATTTTGTCTACTTGTGTTAGGTCAACTTTCCTACTCAAAACTTCACTTGGACGCACAACACAGACTTCTTTTGCCCCTCACAGAGACGGCAATCAAGGAACGGGACTCGCACAGGTATGCACGCACACAATTTTTTTCGAGGGCAGTCGTGTGCTGTAAAGTTTCACACAGACGCTCTTTGTTGATTGACAGCTCAAGTCTAATGCAGCACCTTTGAAGAGTGGAAGAATGACAAAGAGGAGGGGGGCGGGGGTCGTGAATGAGGTTGGAAGTGTGCGATTTTCTTCTTAAAGGGACGCAGACGTCATCTTTTGATTTGGTGGGAAAAGGAGGAGGAGGAGCAAATGGAAGAGGAGGATGATAAGGAGGAGATCAAGTGTTCCCGGCGCTGCCCTGGTGTGATTGTTTCAAGTCATGAGGGCGGCGAGACGGGCAAAGGAAGGGGAGGAGGCAAAGTGTGCAAAAAGGTGGAAGACGGCAACAGCCAATGGGAGCGCGAGGCTGGACCAAGGGGGCAGGTCATCACCAGTTCATCATGGAGTTCCTGTTGAGGGTCATGAAAAACACTTGGCTGCTGCCTCCCGAGCGCACTGATGCGAAGAACACCTGATGGGAGACAGAAAGAGAGAAATTAATGGTTGATGGTTCTTGTTCCTGTATGTTAATTTTACAAAGTCATTACTCCTGAGTGGCAATGTTAGCAAAGTTATTTTTCCTGACAGGCTACTTCAGCACAGTTCTTGCTCCTGATATTTGAATTTAGCAAAGTTCTTATTATTTTAGGAAAGTAATTCTTCCTGAGAGGCACAGTTTTTGCAGGTTGAAGCAAAGTTCTTGTTCCTGACTGCTGAGTGCGGACTTAAGCAAAGTCATTGTTCCTGCCTTCCCGAATATGTAATTATAAATGCACACACATAAAGGCGTCCGACTAAATGAGATAATATGACAGTTGTCTTATTCTTCTGTGAATACGTGCGTACTTTGTCGTTGCGCTCGCACAGGAACTTGAGTCTCTGGGCCCTCTTGTGCATGAAGACTCCATCCAGGTGGCCCGTCTCCACCGAACGGATCTCGATGGCTTTTTCGCCCCAGCCCATGATTTGATTGGAGTGGATGTAGGCTGCAGATGCAGAGTCAAACGTACATTTTCAATCTTGTTATTTTCTTTAGACACAATCAGATGCATGACCTCATCACTATTCAAACTCCACACAGGAAGGCCGGTGCTGGAATTGAACCCCGCACATCTGCACTGTGAGGCCGACGTGTTAGCCAGTCGAACGCTGTGCTGCTTTTCCACACCGCTTATCCTGAACAGGGTTGCTGGATTTTTTCCACTAATACATTATAAATATGGTTAAGTATTAGTGAAAAACACATTAAGTGTGTACTTATACAAACTGTATTTCTATGGCTTGACAGTGCCCAGCAATATCTCCCTTGCTTATGACACGGAAATGTGGAAAAGAGATCAATATGGTAACGATATATATCGCCCAGTCCGACACACACACACACACACACACACACACACACACACACACACACACGCACACACACGCACACACACGCACACACACGCACTTACCAACAGAGGTGGGCATCTCCCCCCACTGCAGGACGACATCTTTGGTGATCCTGCCGTAGGTATTGACGTAGACGCCTTCGTCCTCGTAGCACAGCAGCATCTCCATGCCGTCCGTCTTGGGCAACACCACGATGGCGTGCGGCATCACCTGGCTCTGAATCTATTGCGCGCACGCACACGCACACACACAAAGATGTTAATACCTGTCAAATGTAATCGTAATCCCTATCCGATTAAAAAATATCCCAGTAGGGTATTTAAAGCCATATTTTGGGTTTAATCCCCTGTAAGCGTGTTTGTTGACGCTAAGGCATAAGCGCAGTTAAAAGCTTCCTGTAATACATTTGGGTTTGACATCAAAACATGGATTCGGGTTTTTATTTGCAGGTGTTTTCCACGTCTTTCTCAGCTCCTCAATTATTTGTTTTTTGCCTCTTTTTGATGGCTCTCTGGTATTCATACCTATTTTGTCTGATCGATAATCCATCATCTCCTGGCTTCATAACTGCTGTTTTTTAGAGTCATGAAAAAAATGTCAGGCAGGCATAAAGGATGAAAATAAATATTTAAGTAGTGTTCAATCATTAAAAAAAAATATATATATATGTGTGTGTGTGTGTGTGTGTGTGTGTGTGTGTGTG